TTTTTGTCTGTATTCTCATTCATCGTCTGCTTGATGTTGTATTGATATTTGGTATTGGATCTACGTATAATCCCCTAATTGATATTTGTCTGTATTCTCATTCATCGTCTGCTGGATGCTGTATTGATATTTGGTTTTGGATCTACGTATAATCCACTAATTGATGTTTGTCTGTATTCTCATTCATCTTCTGCTTGATGCTGTCTTAATATTTGGTATTGGATCTACGTATAATCCACTAACTGATGTTTGTCTGTATTCTCATTCATCGTCTGTTTTATGCTGTATTGATATTTGGTATTGGATCTACGTATAATCCAATAATTGATATTTGTCTGTATTCTCATTCATCGTCTGCTTGATGTTGTATTGATATTTGGTATTGGATCTACGTATAATCCAATAATTGATATTTGTCTGTATTCTCATTCATCGTCTACTTGATGCTGTGTTGATATTTGGTATTGGATCTACGTATAATCCACTAGTTGATGTTTGTCTGTATTCTCATTCATCGTTTGCTTGATGCTGTATTGATATTTGGTATTGAATCTACGTATAATCCACTAATTGATGTTTGTCTGTATTCTCATTCATCGTTTGCTTGATGCTGTATTGATATTTGGTATTGGATCTACGTATAATCCACTAATTGGTGTTTGTCTGTATTCTCATTCATCGTCTACTCGATGCTATATTGATATTTGTAAGGATAAACTCTGCCTTGGTCACCTATGGGAGTTAATCAGTTAGAATGACAACATCAGTTACTTTACCCGCTCCCTTAAGACCCTTTGTGATCAAAGTAAACGAGATCACATCCTTGTCCCGACATATAAAGATCCTGAGGTGATTAAACTTCTACAATTGTTCTACAAAGTATTCCTATACTCCCAGTTACGTGTGACAAATTGCACAGATGTAACCTCCTAAAATAATTTTCATACAAAACGAATCTTGTCGCCAGAAATTTCGAATCGACATGTACTGTTAAAACGTGACGCTTAAAGTTTTGGGCTGAGTATTTATTCCCTCGTTACAGATAATTGAGGGGGAGAGCTGTTATTATACTCGGGGATTAAAAAATTTTCGCAATCACTGGCTGCCCAGTATCTACGAAGATATGATGATCACACCTTTACTCTGATTGTTTTGAAGCATTTGCGAATTTTGTAAAGAGACCAATCTTCTCAGTGGGCTAGCGAGCTAGCCACGGGCTATGCGCAAGCTCTTTCGAAATAGAAAGGGCATTTACAAGCTAAAACTGTATCGATGATTAATTCCAATATATCCTCTAAATACATCACGAAAAAGATTTAATTCATATCGCTGAGTGCCCGAATGCAAAGCTTCTGTACGTTGTGTCGTAATGTGATAACAGCTGCCCACTTTGATTCCACTTTTCTGGCGATTGATCATGAGTGGCAACAAGCTGATCGAGTGGATCTGAACAATGTGAGAGAAAAGTACTTTTCCCAGATCCTTGACC